GGCCTAGCATGTGCAAAATAAAAAGAACAAGGGCCTAGCGTGTGCAATATAAAAAGAACAAGGGCCTAGCGTGTGCCAAATTGCAAGAACAAGGGCCTAGCGTGTGCAAAGTTGCAAGAACAAGGGCCTAGCGAGTGCAAAATAGCAAGAGCAAGGGCCTAGCGTGTGCAAAAAAAACAAGAACAAGGGCCTAGCGTTCACGAAATAGCAAGAGCAAGGGCGTAGCGTGTGCAAAATAAAAAGAACAAGAGTCTAGCATGAGCAAAATTGCAAGAACAAGGGCCTAGCGTGTGCAAAATAAAAAGAACAAGGGGATAGTGTGTGCAAAATAGCAAGAACAAGGGCCTAGCGTGTGCAAAATAAAAAGAACAAAGGCCTAGCGTGTGCAAAATAAAAAGAACAAGGGGCTAGCGTATGCAAAATTGCAAGAACAAGGGCCTAGAGTGTGCAAAGTTGCAAGAACAAGGGCCTAGCGAGTGCAAAATAGCAAGAGCAAGGGCCTTACGTGTGCAAAAAATCAAGAACAAGGGCCTAGCGATCGCGAAATAGCAAGAGCAAGGGCCTAGCGTGTGCAAAATAAAAAGAACAAGGGTCTAGCATGTGCAAAATTGCAAGATCAAGGGCCTAGCGTGTGCAAAATAAAAAGAACAAGGGCATAGCGTGTGCAAAATAGCAAGAACAAGGGCCTAGCGTTTGCAAAATAAAATGAACAAGGGCCTAGCGTGTGCAAAATTGCAAGAAAAAGAGCCTAGCATGTGCCAAATTGCAAGAACAAGGGCCTAGCGAGTGCAAAATAGCAAGAGCAAGGGCCTAGCGTGTGTAAAAAATCAAGAACAAGGGCCTAGTGTGTGAAAAAAAAAAAGAACAAGGGCCTAGCGTGTGCAAAATAAAAGGAACAAGGGCCTAGCGTGTACAAAATTGCAAGAACAAGGGCCTAGCGTGTGCAAAATTGCAAAAACAAGGGCCTAGCGAGTGCAAAACAGCAAGAGCAAGGGCCTAGCGTGTGCAAAAAATCAAGAACAAGGGACTAGCGTGTGCAAAATAGCAAGAGCAAGGGCCTAGCGTGTGCAAAAAATCAAGAACAAGGGCCTAGTGTTCGCGAAATAGCAAGAGCAAGAGCCTAGCGTATGCAAACTAAAAAGAACAAGGGTCTAGCATGTGCAAAATTGCAAGAACAAGGGCCTAGCGTGTGCAAAATAAAAAGAACAAGGGCATAGCGTGTGCAAGATTGCAAGAACAAGGGCCTAGCTTGTGCAAAGTAAAAAGAACAAGGGCCTAGCGTGTGCAAAATAAAAAGAACAAGGGCCTAACGTGTGCAAAATAAAAAGAACAAGGGCCTAGCGTGTGCAAAATTGCAACAACAATGGCCTAGCGAGTGCAAAATAGCAAGAACAAGGACCTAGCATGTGCAAAAAATCAAGAACAAGGGCCTAGCATTCGCGAAATTGCAAGAACAAGGGCCTAGTGTGTGCAAAATAAAAGGAACAAGGGTCTAGCATGTGTAAAATTGCAAGAACAAGGGCATAGCGTGTGCAAAATAGCAAGAACAAATGCCTAGCGTGTGCAAAATAAAAAGAACAAGGGCCTAGCGTGTGCAAAACAAAAAGAACAAGGGCCTAGCGTGTGCAAAATTGCAAGAACAAGGGCCTAATGTGTGCAAAATTGCAAGAACATGGGCCTAGCGAGTGGAAAATAGCAAGAACAAGGGCCTAGCGTGTGCAAAAAAGCAAGAGCAAGGGCCTAGCGCGTGCAAAAAATCAAGAACAAGGGCCTAGCGTTCGCGAAATAGCAAGAACAAGGGTCTAGCGTGTGCAAAATAAAAAGAACAAGGGCATGGCATGTGCAAAATAGCAGGAACAAGGGCCTAGCGGGTGCAAAATTAAAAGAACAAGGGCCTAACGTGTGCAAAATAAAAAGAACAAGGGCCTAGCATGTACAGAATCGCAAGAACAAGGGCCTAGCGTGTGCAAAATTGCAAAAACAAGGGCCTAGCGAGTGCAAAACAGCAAGAGCAAGGGCCTAGCGTGTGCAAAAAATCAAGAACAAGGGCCTAGCGTTCGTGAAATAGCAAGAACATGGGCCTAGCGTGTGCAAAATAAAAAGAACAAAGGTCTAGCATGTGCAAAATTGCAAGAACAAGGGCCTAGCGTGTGCAAAATAAAAAGAACAAGGGCATAGCGTGTGCAAAATAGCAAGAACAAGGGCCTAGCGTGTGCAAAATAAAAAGAACAAGGGCCTAGCGTGTGCAAAATAGAAAGAACAAGGGCCTAGCGTGTGCAAAATTGCAAGAACAAGGGCCTAGCGAGTGCAAAATAGCAAGAGCAAGGGCCTAGCGTGTGCAAAAAATCAAGAACAAGGGCCTAGCGTTCGCGAAATAGCAAGAACAAGGGCCTAGCGTGTGCAAAATAAAAAGAACAAGGGTCTAGCATGTGCAAAATTGCAAGAACAAGGGCCTAGCGTGTGCAAAATAAAAAGAACAAGGGCATAGCGTGTGCAAAATAGCAAGAACAAGGGCCTAGCGTGTGCAAAATATAATGAACAAGGGCCTAGCGTGTGCAAAATTGCAAGAACAAGGGCCTAGGGTGTGCAAAATTGCAAGAACAAGGGCCTAGCGAGTGCAAAATAGCAAGAGCAAGGGCCTAGCGTGTGTAAAAAATCAAGAACAAGGGCCTAGCATTCGCGAAATAGCAAGAACAAGGGCCTAGCGTGTGCAAAATAAAAAGAACAAGGGTCTAGCATGTGCAAAATTGCAAGAACAAGGGCCTAGCATGTGCAAAATATAAGAACAAGGGCCTAGCGTGTGCAAAATAAAAAGAACAAGGACCTAGCGTGTGCAAAATTGCAAGAACAAGGGCCTAGCCTATGCAAAATTGTAAAAACAAGGGCCTAGCGAGTGCAAAATAGCAAGAACAAGGGCCTGGCGTGTGCAAAAAAAACAAGAACAAGGGCATTGTGTTCGCGAAATAGCAAGAACAAGGGCCTAGCGTGTGCAAAATAAAAAGAACAAGGGCATAGCGTGTGCAAAATAGCAAGAACAAGGGCCTTGCGTGTGCAAAATAAAAAGAACAAGGGCCTAGCGTGTGCAAAATAGCAAGAACAAGGGCCTAGCGTGTGCAAAATTGCAAGAACAAGGGCGTAGCGTTTGCAAAATTGCAAGAACAAGGGCCTAGCGAGTGCAAAATAGCAAGAGCAAGGGCCTAGCGTGTGCAAAAAATCAAGAACAAGGGCCTAGCGTTCGCGAAATAGCAAGAACAAGGGCCTAACGTGTGCAAAATAAAAAGAACAAGGGTCTAGCATGTGCAAAATTGCAAGAGCAAGGGCCTAGCATGTGCAAAATAAAAAGAACAAGGGCGTAGCGTGTGCAAAATAAAAAGAACAAGGGCATAGCGTGTGCAAAATAAAAAGAACAAGGGCCTAGCGTTTGCAAAATAAAAAGAACAAGGGCCTAGCGTGTGCAAAATTGCAAGAACAAGGGCCTAGCGTGTGCAAAATTGCAAGAATAAGGGCCTAGCGAGTGCAAAATAGCAAGAGCAAGGGCCTAGCGTGTGCAAAAAATCAAGAACAAGTGCCTAGCGTTTGCGAAATTGCAAGAACAAGGGCCTAGCGTGTGCAAAATAAAAAGAACAAGGGCATAGCGTGTGCAAAATAGCAAGAACAAGGGCCAAGCGTGTGCAAACTAAAAAGAACAAGGGCCTAGCGTGTGCAAAATAGCAAGAACAAGGGCCTAGCGTGTGCAAAATTGCAAGAACAAGGGCCTAGCGTGTGCAAAATTGCAAGAACAAGGGCCTAGCGAGTGCAAAATAGCAAGAGCAAGGGCATAGTGTGTGCGAAAAATCAAGAACAAAGGCCTAGCGTTCGCGAAATAGCAAGAACAAGGGCCTAACATGTGCAAAATAAAAAGAACAAGGGTCTAGCATGTGCAAAATTGCAAGAACAAGGGCCTAGAGTGTGCAAAATAAAAAGAACAAGGGCATAGCGTGTGCAAAATAGCAAGAACAAGGGCCTAGCATGTGCAAAATACAAGAACAAGGGCCTAGCGTGTGCAAAATAAAAAGAACAAGGACCTAGCGTGTGCAAAATTGCAAGAACAAGGGCCTAGCGTGTGCAAAATTGCAAGAACAAGAGCCTAGCGAGTGCAAAATAGCAAGACCAAGGGCCTAGCGTATGCAAAAAATCAAGAACAAGGGCCTTGTGTTCGCGAAATAGGAAGAACAAGGGCCTAGCGTGTGCAAAATAGCAAGAACAAGGGCCTAGCGTGTGCAAAATTGCAAGAACAAGGGCCTAGCGTGTGCAAAATTGCAAGAACAAGGGCCTAACGAGTGCAAAATAGCAAGAGCAAGGGCCTAGCGTTCGCGAAATAGCAAGAACAAGGGCCTAGCGTGTGCAAAATAAAAAGAACAAGGGTCTAGCATGTGCAAAATTGCAAGAACAAGGGCCTAGCGTGTGCAAAATAAAAAGAACAAGGGCATGGCGTGTGCAAAATAAAAAGAACAAGGGCCTAGCGTGTGCAAAATAGAAAGAACAAGAGCCTAGCGTGTGCAAACTTGCAAGAACAAAGGCCTAGCGTGTGCAAAATTGCAAGAACAAGGGCCTAGCGAGTGCAAAATAGCAACAGCAAGGGCCTAGCATGTGCAAAAAATCAAGAACAAGGGCCTAGCGTGTGAAACAAGGAAAACAGGAATGAAATGACTATGGAAGATTGGGTACAAATACAACCCTAGAGACCCTGTACCCCATATGTGCTACCCCACTATAGCCTACAGAAACTATGTCATATAAATCTGACACACCCCCATAGGCAAAGTGGGGGAGAACAAGGGGTCACAAGACCAGTCAGGTAAAGCAAAGCAGAGCAAGCTCAGGGTGGATCACAACGTCACCACACAGTCCGAGCACAAGAGCAGGGCCAGAGGCCAGTTCACATGCAGGAGTACAGACATATATATATAGAACTAGACAAGCAAGAGCAGGTATAAATATATGTAACAGTACAAGTGAAGTCAAGAGGAGAGCAAGTGAGGCAAGACAGGCACAAGACCCAGCTGGGTGCAAAAGCGCTGATGGTCACAAGGCGTGAGTGCCTTGGTGAACACATCAGCAGTGTTGGCCTCAGAGGCCACGTACGCAAGTCGCAACTGACCACGCTGCTGCAGCTCACGAGCAAGGAAGTAGCGGAGAGCAATGTGCTTCGTTCTGTGCTCCAAGCGCTGCTCTCGACACAAGGCCAGCATGGCCTTGTTGTCTACGTACAGCACTGGAGGAGAACGAGGCGGCTCTCCAAGGTCAGTCAGCAGGTAGGTGAGCCAACGAAGCTCCTGTGCAGCCATGGCCCCGGCGTAGATCTCAGCCTCACAACTGGAGCCGAGAACCGAAGACGAGCGAGTAGACCGCCACGAGACAGAGCCGGAACCAAGGCTGAAGGTGTAACCCTGTGACGACCGCTGCGTAGCCTGGTCGTCCGCCCAAGAAGCGTCCGCGTGGCCGGTAAGGACCACTGGACTCCGCCCTCCAAGCACTAGCCCCATGCCCGATGTGCTGCACAGGTAGCGCAATACCCTCTTCGCTGCAGCCATGTGCTCTGGTCTGTGTCTCCCAGGAGCAACATAGCGAGCAAGAATGCTCAGAGGGTATGCAAGGTCAGGTCGTGTGCAGGTCATCAGGTACATGAGGCAGCCAACAAGCTCTGCATACGGGCCACTCGACTCTACGGACTCATCCGAAGGCAGAGCTGAGAGTGAGTGGCGAGTAGGCAGAGGAGTGGCCTGAGGCGAGGAGTCCGTGAAGCCGAAGCGCTGAAGGACCTGCTGCACCATGTGTGACTGAGTCAAGGTAATGGTGCGGCGTGCTCTGTCCCGAGTGATCTGCAAGCCAAGGTAGCTGCGCAGTTCACCCAGGGCTGTGCACGTGTGTCTCTTCAGCAGCTCGGACTTCACGTAGGCGAGTCCAGCAGTGTCCGCTGTGGCAAAGACCAAGTCGTCGACGTACACGAGGATGTAGAACGGCGGCAGGGAAGTGTCGGTGCGAAGAAACAGCGACGGGTCAGCAGTAGAAGGAGCAAACCCAAGAGCCGCAAGCGTAGTCCTCAGTGTGTCGTGCCACTCACGCGGTGCCTGACGGAGACCGTAGACTGGCCGTCGGAGGCTCCACTGGGTGCCAGGAGGGAAAGTCCCAGTGAAGCCAGGTGGACGGCGAAGCCAGATCTCCTCGTGAAGGCTACCCTGCAAGAACGCAGTGCTGAAGTCGAGAGAGTGAAGCTCGTAGTCGCGCTGAGCGGCTATGTGTAGCAGCACCCGAAGAGTAGTCATCTTCGGGGTGGGAGAGAAGGTCTGAAAGTAGTCAACTCCCTGCCGCTGACTGAAGCCACGAGCAACGTACCGTGCCTTGAAGACAGGTGGAGAGCCCGGCGGCCGCTTCACCCTGAAGATCCACATGCCACTGACGATGTTTGCCCCAGGAGGGGGAACCGCGTCAACGTAGGTGCCTGTGGACTTCCAGGAAGCCATCTCTGCATCCATAGCTGCCTGCCACTGAGAGGAGTAGGGACCCTCTACGGCCTCCGCGTAAGAACGCGGAGTCGGGATGTCTAGTGCATCCGGGTCTCCCTCAGGGGCAAGCAGTACAGACGCGAGATGAGGTGAAGCAGCCGCTAGACACTGTAACTCCTCCTGCCTGTCCTCTAGGACGTCCGTGCCAAGAGCACACTCACCCCCGACGGACGGAGGACAGACAGACGCAGACTCAGCAACAAGACTAGCAGCGTAGTCGAGACGACAGCGAGCAGCAAAGTCGACGAGCTCAGCGACTAGAGCAGACGCAGCCGTGGACTCAAAAGAGGGGTCAGTGACGACAGTAGCAAGCAGACGCGTGACAGTAGGACTGGCAGCACGAAGAGAGTCCGACTCAGGGTCGGCAAGCGCAGGGAGAGAGGACTCAAGAGGAGAAGGCGAAAGGGGCACGCAGAGGAGCAGTGGACGGACGCAAAGACATCCGGTGCGTGCCAGGGACAGGAGGAGGACGCTGACGCGAACTGCGACCACTAGCGCGAGCAGCACGAACAGGCGACGCGGGACGAGACGCAGGCTCACGACGCTCAGCAAGACCTCCAGTAGGACCAGTGTAAGGACAGGGAGCAGGCAGTGGAGAGGAAGGCTCCAGTAGGGACTGCGACTGGACAGGCGGTGGACCCTCTACTGGAGGAGAAAGACCAAGAACCTGCTGCAGGAGCGGAACGAAGTACGGCCGAGGCCGCGCGGCAGCTCCAGACTCAGCAGGGACAGCACCAGTACCCTCAGCGACAGCACCAGCGCCACCCACACCTCCAGCGGCAGGACCAACAGCAGTAGGCTCAGCACCAACGCCCTCAGCAGCTCCAGCTCCAGGAGGACCAGTAGGTCCAGCAGCTCCGGGACCGGCAGCACCCGCACCCTCGACGGTCGAAGAAGCTCCAGCTCCAGCTCCAGCAGCACCTCCAGACTCAGCAGCACGCCTCCAGCAGCGAGCGAACCACTCGCGCAGCTCCTGTGGAGAGAGGGGCTCCCGGCGAGACGCAGCAGCAGGAGAAACCCCAGGCTCAGCAGCTCCAGACGCAGCACCCCCAGGCTCAGCAGCTCTCAGCTCAGCACCCCCAGGCTCAGCAGCTCCCGACCCAGCACCCCCAGACCCAGCACCTCCAGGCACAGCACCCCCAGGCTCAGCACCCCCAGGCTCCGCACCCTCCGCAGTAGCACCCTCAGGCCCAGCACCCCCAGCAGTAGTACCCCCAGGCTCAGCACCCCCGCGCACAGCACCCCCAGAGTCAGCACCCCCAGGCTCAGCACCCGCAGCAGCACCAGAGTCACCAGTAACCTCGACCGGGTCAACGGCGTCTACCTGGGACACACCTGAGGGGGCAGGAACCTGAGGGGGGAGGGGGTCTACCGGGGGGGGAACCGGCATAAGGAAGTCCGGGGGAGGGGGGAGGGAAGGAGTGCGGTAGGGGAAGAGACGGTAGAAGGGGACTGACTCGTCGAACGTGACGTCCTGGGAGGACAGAACACGACGAGAGGAGGGGTGGTAAAATTGCCACCCTGGGGCGTCAGTGGGGAAGCCAAGGAAAACACAGGGAGCAGCACGAGGGGACAGCTTGTCCGCAGACAAGTCGCGGACAAACGCCCGAGATCCCCAGACACGGAACACAGACGCATCGCCAACCTTCCCCGTCCACAGCAAGGCTGGGGACATCGCAGGCCGAGAGACCCGGGGGTGAAGGTTGAGCTGATGCGCCGCGTACCTCACCGCAAACGGCCACAGAAAATGGGGGGCAGCCGCATGCATCATGGACGTACGAGCGACATCCATGACCATGCCAATGCGGCGCTCAGCAATCCCATTTTGCTATGGTGAGTCCGGAAGCGTGAAGGTCTGGCGGATCCCCCGTGCACGACAGTAGTCTCGCAGAAGGCGAGAAGAGAACTCTCCGCCTCTGTCAGAGTGCAGACGCAGAACAGGAAAGTCCGAGCCGAAGCTCTTCCTGAGCTGGAGACGAGCCTCGCGGATCCAGTCGATCAGCACCTCAGTGACCTCACCCTTGCTGCGCAAGGGGAGGACTGTGGTGTAACGCGAGTAGTCGTCAACCACCAACAGGAAGTAGCGCTCGTAACCCTGCCCACGGATGGGGGCTGGGCCCCACACATCCATGTGAAGCGTCTGCAGGGGAGCCTCTGTCGGGGGGAAGTGGGAGGCGTGAGGAGTAGCCCGGAGGCGACCCTCGACACAGGGGACACAGGAAGGTCCTGGCCCGGAGGGGAGAGGAGGGAGAGACTGGGGAAGACCAGAGACAAGGACACGGGAAGCCATGCTCCGAAGACGGGGCAAGGAGGGGTGGCCAAGACGGTGGTGCCACAGGAGAGTCTTGTGAGACAGGAGGCGACAAGAACAGGGGGCAGACTCAGGACCTGACCGGGACGCAGCAGCAAGTACCTGACCCGACGCAGCCACCTGACCAGACGCAGGGACAGGAGGAGACTCAACGGTCAGGGTGTAGAGACTCGACCCCGGCCGACGCGAGAACGTGGCCAGGTGTCGGCCTGTGCGTGCCTCCGTGCAGTGGGTCACCCGCTGACTCGCAGGAGTGAACTGGTGAACACCCCCATCCTTCAGGTCCGCTCCACTCACCAAGTTCGTGGAGAACGAGGGAAGGTACAGACCCGACAGGGTGCCCGAAGGGGCAGCCGGACACGGGAGGACAGTGGAGAAGTGAGACAGGATAGGACCTCCAGAGGGGTCAGCAAGGGAGACTGCAACCGGCCGGCCGAGCGGCGTAAGGGTAGTGCGGTCTCGAAAGAAGGAGTGAGAAGCTCCGGAGTCAAGTGTGAAAGTGAGGGAGGACGAGGACGACGCAGTACCTGAGAGCGCAGTCTCACCAGTACCTGAGAGCGCAGACGCACTGGCACCTAGAGCAGTAGCCTCACAAGCACCTAGCGCAGCAGTACCAATGCCCGGGTCGGGCTGGAAACAACGGTAACCCTCATTCTCCTCACTATAATCCACAACATACATAGCAGTAAGGATAGCATCAAAATCAAGATCAAAGATCGCTACACCAGCCCTGAGAAGCTCATCCCAGCGAGGGATCTCACTAGCCCCAGGGAACTGCTGACGCCAGGCGTCCGTCAGGCGGCCAAAGCAGCGCTGGGTGGCGTGGGCACCCCCACACTGCTCACCCGCGTGGTCGCCGGAACGAAGAACGTAGGTGCAGGGACCAGTACCCCCACCCCTCTGACGCCCAGCGTACCACTCACGAAGCTGCTGAGGCGAAGGGATGTCCCGCGAGCGCTGCTGCTGCTGCCGGTGCGAGCGCTGGCCACCACCACCGCCGCTACGCTGCTGGGTACCACCCCGACCAGCTCCACCTCCTCCACCACCACTGCCTCCTCCGCTGCCGCCTCCACCGCCTCCACCTCCGCCGCCTCCACCTCCGCCGCTGCCTCCACCACCACCGCTGGCACCACCACCACCGTCTCCGCCGCTGCTGCCACCACCACCACCACCACCCCCGCCACTAGTCCCGCCGCCACCCCCACTCCCTCCGCCGCCACCCGCCGCCACCGCCACCGCCCCCTCCAGCTCCACCCGCGCCCTTGCCCCCCTTGCCCTTGCTGGAGCGACGTCTCCCACTAGGGGCAGACGCCGCGCCGACCGACTCAAGACCAAGCAGGTCGGCAGCAGCAGCAGAGGCAACAGAGGGCAGCAAGGGGGAAGGAGAGCACCCCTCAAAGATGGGGGTGCGAGGGTCACCACGAGAAGCACCTACAGCGACTATGCTCTTCTCCGCTGCAAGGAGGGCCTTCTCGAGGAGGTCGACGGTGAGGGTGGTGGGACAGACTGCGAGAAAGTGGTCCCTGACGACGCGAAGGGAGTCAGGGAGGCGCGCGACTACGTAGTAGAGAGCGATGTACATGGGGGGGGGGGTTCTTAGCGCAGAACTCGGCAGGAAGGGCGGCGCGGTAGCGAGTGTCACTAGTGCGGAGGTGCGTAATGAGGTCAGCGACAGTGGGAAAGGCAGAGAGGTCAGGAAAGAGGTAGGGAAGCATGAGACGGCTCAGTGCAGCAGTGGCAGGGGAGGAGTAGCGCGCAACTACAGCGTCGTACAAGGTCTGAGCACTCTTGTACTGACTAAAGTGCGCACGCTC